TCCAGGTGCCCGTCCAGGTGCCCGTGCAGGGGCCCATGCAGGGGCCCGTACCGGTCCGGGCCTACGTCCAGGCTCTGCATCATAGATGTGGGGTTCAGATGTTTCTGTGCAGCTTTGTTGCAGCAGATTTGAAGTGTCTCTGAACCAGAACAGAAACTCACTTTTGTTCCCAGCAGCAGTTCATCATAGTACTTTTGTTTTGGATGAGACCTTTAAGCATGTCCCAGACCCAGAAGGCCAAACAGAAACCAATAATGAATAAACAAAATTAAGAAACATAAAACTAGCGGTAATTCTACTGGATCTAAAGTGGATTAAAAATATGACAAACTTTAATCAGGAAGTTCTTCTGGGTACTGGATTAGGACTTTTCCAAGAACATTACATCTCCATCTTTGACTGTTTCACGGCGAGCTCCATCTTCGAAGGTTCATTTCCTCAATAATAACAATAAGAAATGTTTGTTGTACTCAACTGGTTTCCTGCAGCTCCACTCTGACCTGGATAAAGGTGACGGACAGGTGAGGTACGTCCTGAGCGGCGAAGGAGCAATGTCCATCTTCTCCATTGATGAGGACACCGGAGACATACACACCACCAAAAGCTTGGATCGGGAACAGCAGGCGTACTACACACTGAGAGCTCAGGCTCGAGACCGAAACACCAACCTGCCGCTCGAACCCGAGTCCCAGTTCATCATCAAGGTCCAGGACATCAACGACAACGAGCCCAAGTTCCTGGATGGACCGTACGTGGCCCGGGTGGCTGAGAGGTCCCCTGCAGGTGAGTCCAGAATCAGCTTTTGTCTCCACATAGTCCCGCGTGAACATTTCATGTTGAGTGGAGCTTTTTACAGTCCACTCGTTTGCACTGAAGTCACCTCAGCTGAGCGTGAATTAGATCAGCAGGGATTCAACAAGCAGGAGCCATTTTCATAGACTTCTGCTCGTAATGTGAAAACCTGATGTCATGCAGGCTTTTAATGTGAAAGGTTGAACAGGCAATGTACAAACCAGAGCTGAGCAGGTTCTTGTTGTGAAACTTACTGAGAGACCTGGATAGGTTTTCTGTCCTCCAGGTGAGTCTCCTGTTGTTGGTCCCATTGCACATGCTCACTAGTTCCCTCGGTTTGGAGATGTTTTATGGAGACACCTTCTCAGAGCAAATCCAAATTTAGGTTTGACAGCGTTTCTACGAGCAGCGCTCCCTGTTTGAATAAAGTTTGATCTTGTACAGGTACGTCTGTGTTGACCGTGGTGGCGACAGACGCCGATGATCCAACCTATGGAAACTCCGCCCACCTGGTTTACAGCATCCTGCAGGGGCAGCCATATTTCTCTGTGGAGCCAAAGTCAGGTGAGCGTGTGGCTGTGAAACGCAGACAGAGAGCACTCGGTGACGCCACGACCAGTCGAGTATTAAACTGCTACAGACCATGGCTGCCTTTACCCATGAGCCTTGCAGAGTTGTACGTAACCACCTTCGTGGTGGTCACGGTCACGCCTCCTCTCTGAATCCTCCTTTGCTGCTTCACACATCAGATGTAGTCAGATTGCAGCAGATTAAAGCGGATTAAAGCAGCTTCGGCCTCTTCGCCTGAAGCCGCTTTATTTACTGTTCGTAAATGAGGCCACATGATGTCACCTCGGTTTGTGTCGGCGCTGCACAACACCTGTGACCTTTTTAATGTCAGCACGTGGATCAATTATGAATGCGTCATGTTGATTATGTCACAATGTTTGTCATGTGGGCGCTCATGCTCGCCTTCCGACTGCAGTAATGTCTCACCTGTCTGCAGGTGTGGTGCGTACAGCCCTGCCCGACATGGACCGGGAGCTGCGGGATCATTATCTGCTGGTCATCCAGGCCAAAGACATGATTGGTCAGATGGGAGGTCTGTCAGGAACCACAACGGTCACTGTGATGCTGACTGATGTCAACGACAACCCACCTCGCTTCCCCCGCAGTGAGTCTCACCTGAGAGCGTCCTGTTAACACCTGTTCATTGATGTTTGACTCTCTCCCAATCCTGTCCTTCTGGATTCAAACCTAACAGAGTTTCTTTAGAAATCACAGCTCCTCCCTCTGCCGGCTGGACTTTTAACAGTGAGCCTGCAGAGCGTCGTGACCTTATTCCAACACGATGTCCTCCGAGTGTTACGAGTATTTAAGGTTGTTCTTGACCACAAACTGTGTTTTGAGCCTCATGCTGATGCCACTACCAAACGAGTTCAGCAAAAACTCTTCTTTTTAAGGCAAATTCGATCTTTTAATGTCTGAAATGTTGTCCTTGTTTTACAGACATGTTATTGAATCATTTATCTGCTTGGTTTGGTTACATGACTCTGAAGAGCAGGAGTCAGTTGGGACTTTGGGTAAAAACTCTCAGGGCGTTTGGCAAGACGGGCTTTTGACTATTTATAACAAGCATGTGCTGAGGAAGCCTCATTCGGTTAACCGTTTGAACCATCCACTTCACACTGAGCTTGACTTGTTGCCCTCTGGCCGTTGTTTAGAGTGCCTGTGAGGTTTCTTTTATCCCGACTGCAACCAATGGAAAATAAATGTCTTGTGGCTTTTTGTTATTGTTTTGTTTGTTCTCATTGTTGCACTGGTCACGGGCTGCCTCTCTGACCCAGCGCTTTATTTTGTATTTTTGAGTCTCTTATGTTAAGGTTGTATGATAAGTTCCTTTGTTATTCTTATTTAAGGTTTAGTTGATTATTATCATCTGTCTCATGAGTTTTTTTAAATTCTGTTTCTTGTCTTTTATGTGTTTTAGGGCTGTGTATTGTGTTGTCATGTCTACGTCATGTTTCCTGTTTTATTTTGAAAGAGTCTGGTGCGTTCATTGTGACTTTCCCCCTAGTGTCAGCTGTTTCTCCATGTGTTCCTACTTCCCCTGATCACCTCCTGTGTATTTGAGTCCTCTGTTTTCTGTGTTTCATTGTCGGGTCGTCTGTTATCCCCACCATAGTCTCTGATAGGTTTCATGGTTGTCTCCTGCCACCAACCAAATAAAGGCTCGTTTTTTTGTCCACCTGACCTCTCCCTGCTTCTGGGTCCTGTTCACAACACGTACCCGGCTGTGGCTGCGCTTGCTGCTGCACTAACTTCCCCAGAGACAGTAAAGAATTGAACTGAATTGAATTGAATTGATTTGAATTGAACTGAACTGAACTGAACTGAACTGAACTGAACTGAATTGAATTGAATTGAATTGAATTGAATTGAATTGAATTGAATTGAATTGAACTGAACTGAAGGGGGCGCTGCAGGCACTCATTCAGGCTTCTCTGTGACCCACAGAGAGTTACCAGTTCAGCGTCCCAGAATCCACACTGGTGTCAGCGGTGGTCGCGAAGATCAAAGCTCTGGATGCGGACGCGGGTCCAAACGCTGAGATGGACTACAGGATCCTGGACGGGGATGGACTGGGAACCTTCCGGATGCTCACGGACCCCCACACACAGGAAGGACTGGTCATCCTGATCAAGGTTCTGGATTGTTTGTAGGTCACAGAAATCTCCAGTGTTTGGTTCTGATGTTTCTGTCCACTGTGAACTCTTCCGCGTCCCTGTGATCGTTGCATCATCGCGTGCCGGCGGCGTTCCCAGAGGACGTCCCTGCTGCTCGGCAGCTGCTCACAGCTGTTTAAATTTAGCTCGCTGCGTCTCTTGCAGATGACATTTTTTATTGTTCTGATTTTAGATTCATCGCTCAGATAAAGGTTTCCTTTCTGTCAGCAGTCGTGTCTGTGCCAGCACAATCAGAATAAATGTGGGTGTCGCCTTCACATAATCACATGACCACGTTTTACTGATGGCCTCGCTAGTTTATTTAACCCAGTAACATGATTTACAAAGGAGAACAAAAGTAGATAGATTTCCAGCTTCGGTCAGTCTGGCCTCCATGTGTCGGTGGC